TGGCTGTTAAAGACGAAGTCGTAATTCTGAACCCCGATCAAACGACGAGGACAATGCCTGAGCTACATGATGTGGAAAGACATACTTATATATATTTTTTTTCCTTAAAATATCCGCCTATAACGCGTACCCATACTATGAAGCAGCAATTTTTAATTTTTGGGTATACTTACCGTATAACGCGCGCCCCTTTTTTTACGAAGAAACCTGAAATGTACGTGCGCAATGCTCTTATGTTTTGAAGCCATTTATTCGAGGCATTATTCTAAGCTTAGAAAAAAGGAGTGTGGTTCTAGAACTACAACTCCTTAAGCTCATAAAAGGAATGTCTTTTCTTTTTAAATGAACAGTATTCCGATCTATGTAAAAGTCTATTTTTTTATACTTATCTCTTTTATTTTTAAAGCTTTCATTTTTAAACCCGACGGATTACGCGCATCCTTAAATTTCGATCTTTTTTTGGGTGTTAAAAGAGCGCGTTATACACCGGAATTTACGGTGATCGCAATTTGTATGTATTTTAACGATAGAATATTAATATTCTAAATTGTGGGTATTGTGAATTTTTCAGTCTAGTTTTTCAATAATTTTTTGGTCTTCAAAAATAAAATTACTAGTCTAATAAAATTAACAGATTTTTCCCTTCGATATTATTGGGTAATTCAGATTTATTTTAGAATAGGAATTATATTAATTAAAAAATGTATATATTCGATTAACATATCAATGCGTTCCACCAACGATATTGTTCAGTTTGCGTTATGGCCACGGTAGCCTAGAGGTCATGGTCACAAGTTCGTGGTCGACGTGTCATCAGTTCGAGATCTTGAGCACTGACCCCCCCCCCCCCAACATGTAGGAAGATTGATGCATGCTCTTTCTCTCGTGGTTCAAAGTTCCACCGTTGGCGTGATGTGGTAGCGTGGAGACTGAGATCCTTGCTCGGGTATCATCCTCTTCACTTGACTGTGGATCAAAACTACATGATCCGAGTGCATTGTTTCATAGTGCGATGTTAAAATAACCACTCACTCCCCCGATTATTTCATTTGAAAAAATTCTTTGAAATTTCGTAAATTTATGTTTATCAGTCTCAAAAACGTATGAATGATAATTCAAGTGCTTTAAATATTACTAATTTCTAATGATCTAATTTTTGAAAGAAAAAAAAAAGAATTGTTTGAATAAAACATCAGAAGTCTTTTCATGACTTTGTTTTATGAATGTACTGGATTCAGAGACTAATGGCAAAGAAAGGTCAAAATCCGTCATTTTTCGTCTGTTTCCATTTATGGGTTGTGTTTATCTCAACGAGGCGTAATTTAATAATCATTTTTTTTTCATTCTGTTGATAAACACATTGTGTGATGTTGTAATAAAAAAATTGCGTGAATGAAAATTAAGAGTATCAATTGCCAAAGATAATCAAATGCTGAATGATAATTTTCCTTTCAAGGACTGTTACTACTATCATCAGCTCATCGAATCATGTAATATCTTTCCGCGATAGACTTAAAAAACTTTTACTAGAGGTTCCTTTTATTGATGCATTGACCTTATGCAGTCGAGATGCGTCAAATACTATTAGTTTAAAATGGTACTAGTATATGTATGTTATAGCAGAGCGGGAGATTTTATTTGTTTATATTTATTCCATGTTGAGGCGATCTATTTCCAGGGCTGTTTTCGACCTGATCGGTGCCCTAGGCACTTTAAATTGTTACGCCCCCGCCCCCATAATTTCCAGAGCACTCCCCCCCCCTCCTTCAGTTTTTACCTCGCCAGTTTCGGTTCGGGGGGGGGATTTTCCCTTTACTCAACTCTTTTATTTGTTTTTGCTCTTTGGGGAGTCTCCATTATCCACCACCTATGGACACGCAGTGTCCTGGACTAGCAATTGGTAGCCGTGTGACGGATATATTCGCGTCATTTTCCTACTAATCCTCTTGGGGAAACTTTGGGGCTAGCATTCACATTAATTCACAGCCTTTCAAGAAGAAACCATGATATTTAAATTAGTTTGACTCTATAAAGTCTATAGGTTTTGTAGATGTAAGATGGAAGGAGCTGGGGAGCTGTTAAGGTGTTATGTAAGTGTGAATATTGGAATATTTCATTTACAAACGTAGCGCGAGTTACGGAAGTAATTGCTAAGAGATTAAATTATTAGATTAAGGGGATTTAAGATACATGAAATTAGAATTAGTTATCGGTTCATTAGCGCTTGTTCTCTTTATCTAGTTCACGTAGCCGGGTTTACTTAGAGTTAGTTATTAAGATTAGATAACGCTTTATATATCACTCCTAGGTTTCCTTTTGTAGTTTCACTTGTGATTGTTTAAGTGTGTTTAAAGATAAATAAACTTATTGTTATTATGGAAGTTGCTGGTGATGCTTTGCTTCCCCCCACACCTTTAGACAGGCAAGACGGAGAGCGAGGGGTGCCGATTAGGCCGACACCCCTACAGCCGTAGGGAAAGGGTAGTGGCATGTTTTTGCCACTCTTGTTCATTTCGAACCTTACGGCATCACGGACCTTCCGTTTGTATATTGTACAGTAAATTAATGAAATCGTTTGAAATTACAATACAGGGTACACGTTATTGTAGGAAATGTTCTCAATTTGTTTATTCTCATTTTTTTCCCGCTTATCGCTTTACTATATTTTGCTTTCAGACATCCTTATTCTTTGTTGAGTCATTGTCATTGTATTTGTACAACAAAGGTATTCTCCGGGTTTTGGTCATTGCAAAATCGTTAATGACTTCATAGTGATCAATATCCATTGTAATATCATACAACCAACACATAGCAATATCAAAAAGTTCAGCTTTTCTTTTACCATAGTAGATCTTATTTCAGTCTTTACTCTCTCTTAAGGGCAGAAATGCTTCTCTCGTGATTCGCTAGGCAATTGTTGTTCGCTGTAATTAAAAAAAAATTTTTTTCTTTTTTTCGCCTTCCAATTTTTTTGCGTCCTAGGTATGTGCCTAGCGTGCCTAAGCGGAAAAGCGGGCCTGTCTATTTCAAGCTGTTGAATGGAGGAAGCATATTTTGGTATTCTAATTTTATTTTCTATTCCGACATTTATACGATAAACAACTAACACTCATAACGTTCGGTGATTAACACAGTCACATAGCAGTTACAATACGCAGCAGCGACGTTTCACAGGATGAAGAGAAGAAGACAAAGAGAGAGATTTTTCAGAGACCTCTGTATATTTATACGAAGCGGCAACAGGAAATCTAGGAATCCGTGTGACCCGTAGACGGAGACTATGATTGGTGGAAAGATATCCTTCTACAGATTGTGATGTAATCTGACTTTTAAAAATGCAAGCTGCTAACTTTCAAGAGATACAGTTACAATGATTCCGTTATGCGGGTGAGCAGGTTAATTTTTTACGCGCGAGTCCTGATGGCCAGGACCATTACAAATTAAAAAATTGTTTAGAGAAAATAAAGAGAATTATATTACAGTTTTATGAAGAAATTTCAAATTGATAGCGTAAAAAATAAATAAAAATAATAAACCGTTTATTGACTATTTAATAGAGTGGATCACGGTTATATAAAGAAAAATAAATATTGTTAATAGGATCCACCTATGCAGAAAAGATGTTCTATGGTATGGTGATTAAGAGAAAAATAGCTTTAAAAAATTATTTTCACAATTTTATATTGACAAAAGGCAGAGGCGTAACGTAAAACCCCGCATCACGGGGAAGGGGGGGGGCATAATTCTAAGGGGTCCATAGCCTGACTGACGCCAAGTACGTATTTAATCAATTTGTAAAATCTTAAAGGCAAAATCTGATTTTGCAAGGGAGCCCTTATATTCTCCGTTACATCACTGCACTAAGGGTTGAACTATCGAAAAAAAAACCCGGAAAGACTTAATTTTGTTTAGATGATTTTAGACTCTAAATAATTATTTTTCTACAAAAAAAAAAAAACCATAAGTGATGATTACTATTTAGTGAGTAGTATAGTGTACGATTACATAATTTCATAACCAAGCTCTCTTTCCAAACACTGTTGATTCCCGCAGACTAATCCAAGCTGCTTTCCGTATTTTGCTTCATCGTGTACAGTAATTTCGAAGTAGGTATTTTATTTTTAAAAAAAATTTAGAACTGAAAGAGCTGGTTAAAATGAACTGGGTGTTTTGTCTGTGTGAAACTACTTAGTATGTGACCGCTCATCGTCATAAATGTTAAAACGTACTAAAATTCTGTTTCATTTTTGCAAAAATTACTTTAACTTTTTTCCATAAAAATACTCAGATACCTAAACTTCATTCTCTTTGTGGCAGTACTTAACATAACAATTATTTTTTTATTTTACTTTCCCAGAGAACATCTTTTTCACGCAGGTTGGTTTTTAAATTGTGGGGGGGAATTTTGATCCCCCTATTGTTTAAGTATATTGTATATTTGGTTTTCAAAGCATGTTTTTTCTCCTCCTCGTTTTTTTAATTATATATCTTTTTAAATGAAAGTAACACTTTTTTCGCTTTTCTGTCCTTCACAAAATTAAGTATTTTTAATATTACGCCAACACATACTATTACGTAAAAAGTAGTAAAATTGTAAATAATGTTTGAATAATAATAATAAAGTTTCAAGAAAAATAAATGTACAATTTCTAAAATTTCTTGGAAAAAAATTGAGTTAAAAAGTATTTAGGTATATTGTATTATTTTTTATAACGCAACTTTTCAATTCCTTCTATTAGTTCATTCTCTCTCTCTCTCTCTATATATATATATATGTATATATATATATACATATATATATACATATGTATATATCTTGTTCAAATTTTCAATCGTTAATAAAAGATTCAAGTTCGAATACCTTTTTTAAAACTTGTAGTGGATGACACTTGATGTGAAAAAAACTTTTTTTTTTAATTCATTAAATTAAAAAATGAATAAATAGTTCAAACAAAAATAATAGTCCAACAGCATATATAGAAGGGAAAATCGCTCGTTGTGTCCCTGTAGGGCAATGGACAGCGCGTTAGATTTCTAATCCAAAGGTCGTGGGTTTGAATCCCACCAGGGATGGCATAATTTCTGAGGATGTGATTACTATTTTATTTCAAAAAATAAATTCAATTAATGAATAAACAGTAGCAAACAAAAAAATAGCCCAACACCGTATACAGAAAGGAAAGCAGAAAAATCGCTTTCTATTTTGTCACTTAATATTGTGATTCTGTCATATGTGTACACATATTTATATTAATTGTAACTATCTAGTAACAAGTAACTAAGGTAAAATTTTTATTTGTTGACCTAAGTAGGAATTGACTTAAATTTTTTTATATGTTACTTGTTAACGTCCAAATTTGATTGATCACTTTCCAGTATACTATTTATTAAATTATGTAAATAGTTTATTATTTTATATGTCATTCCTTGCAATTGTTACGACATGGCCACAATATCTAAATCAATTTCAATACATTTCATAAATTTTGTAAATTGAAGGGAAAAAAATTGAATGATTTGGCGAAAATCGAGACCCTCCTATTTATAGTTTTCAATTGTTAAATGATATATATTTGTTTGATTCGAATTTCATCTCAAATTTAAACAGTCCGTTTCAATGGCAGAGAAAATGCCTGTATGGAACTTAAATTATTTAGCACAATTTTATCAATTGTTTTTGTAGGTTATTCAACAATAAACGTGAACACGAGCCCCTAGCAATGGCTTAACCCGATGACCAATTCCTATTCATGGTTGAGTTATGCGAACCATTTGACTAAATGTTAAAGATTTATCTATTGCATCAAATGCTTTGATATTTTTTCGAACAATGACAAGAAATACATGTAAAAGAAGTTGGTATACATTTTTGAATCAAAGCATTACTTCTTTTTTAAAAAAAATAATTGTATTTAGAATTTATACATGTTTCGAAGAATTTTTAGGAAGTACTGTAAAATTGTATACAGGCAAAATATTATTATTATAGAAGCATTTTTCATAAACGGAGAATGTTTTGAAAATATGTCTTTCTTTCTTCATTTCACGCCAAAAAATTGCACTTAAATATTTTTTTATTGTAATAAAAAAAATTCTTAAAACAGTTCTATAAATATATTCTAATTCAAGTGGCATTAAATATATTAAAAAAATTTATACGCTTTTACAAAATCGAAGTTCTGAACGTAGTCAGATACCTTAAGGCTGTCTTCGGTTAATGTTAAAGAATATAACTCGAATATGGAATACCTTTTCAGATATGAAAAAAAGGATACATTTATATTATATTCTGGCTTTGCTATCCTATAGTGAGCAGCATATTTTATCATACTTCTCATTTTTACATGAGATGATTAGTTTTTTTTCTGGCCTGAAATGTGTTTCGTATTTTTTCCCTCTCTTATACCGTTATATTAAATAAATTAATTATCCCTTGAAGTGTTAAAAGGAAAAAAGTAAGTATTTATGAGGTACACTGCTGGCCACCGTAAATGCAACACCAAGAAAGACTAGAGATAGCACAACAAAATTTATTTTGCAGATAACATGTTGACCAAGTATCAAATGATTAAATTTATGGACTTCTGTGAAGTGTGCTTCATGCCAGAATCAGTAGCCAGAGTAGCCGCCATTGTTGGAGATCACCGCTGCCACACGCCACGGCATTGATTCAAAGAGACTTTGAATGTGTTCTTGGGGTACAGCAGACCAAGAAGCTTCCACTCGTTGCCAAAGTTGATCTCGTGCGGCAGCTGGGGGTGTAATCTGGGTCAATCTTTGAGCAACCATGGACCACATGTTTTCTATCGGCGAAAGATCCGGAGAGCGAGCCGGCCAGGGAAGCAGTTCAATCTGGTGATTAACGAAGAGCCTTTGGACAATGCGTGCCACGTATGGTAGCGCATTATCCTGTTGAAATATGGCTGTGGCCAAGCCCTGAAGGTACGGAAGGACAACTGGCTCCAACACCTCGGAGATGTAGCGCTGGCTGTTTAAAGTACAGGCGATGCGTACTAGAGGAGTGCGAGAGTGATATCTAATACCGCCCCATACCATAATACCTTGTGCAGGACCAGTGTAGCGGTGCATAACGCAGTTGTTCAGCATCCCCTCTCCACGGTATCTCTAGACTCGAATCCGACCATCGTGGTGTTGCAGACAGATGCGTGACTCGTCAGTAAAGACAACTTCATTCCATTCTGCCACCCACATCCTTCTTTCATCGTACCATTGGCGGCGGAGACGTCTGTAGATCTACGTCAAGGGTGGACCAAGCAATGGACGTCTTGCGGACAGACCACTCTGCTGTAAACGGCGTGGAATCGTACGCGCAGACGCTGTATGATGCGTTACATACTCAAGGTGCTGTGCTATGGTTCGTGATGTGACTGAGTGATCCGTCACGGCCATGCGCACAATTTGTCTGTCCTCACGTGAAGTGGTGCACTGAGGTCAATGCGATCGACCACGTCGGTCCTTTGTACCCTCCTGCATCCAAACGGTCATATATCCGCATTACAGTTGTTTGGTTTCGTCCAACACGACTACCGATTTCCCTGAAAGATAATCCACAATCTCGGTAGGCCACTATACTTCCTCTGTCGAACTCGGATACTTGATCAAAAGCTGATCTATGTTTTCTACGAGACATAATTTATCGTTTTTTGAAAAAACCAAAAGAAAAACACACTTGCCGAACTTGAAATCGTCGAAATCTCCAAGCCTTCTATAGCGCTTTGAGGTGGCGCCACAGGCGTGTGTGATGTGATTCTGCGCTGAAATTCTAATCATTTGCATACCTCACCTGCGCTAATGCATGTTGTAAATTTTATGTTATTTGCGTGCTTCCTTCAGGGTGTTGCATTTACGGTGGCCAGCAGTGTACTTTGAAATTTTAATAATGCTATATTATTAACACATTTATGAATTATATAATGTTGTGTGTGTGTGTGCAAATTTTCATAAAAAATAGACGCAATTCTTATCCTATAGAGAATTGAGAAATTTGAGGCTATTCTATGGAGAGCAGCATATTTTATCATACTTCTCATTTTTACATACGCTTTTTTATGGTCTGAAATGTGTGTTTCACATTTTTTTCCCACTTATACCTTAATGTTAAATGAGCTATCCTTTTGCGTTTTAAAATGAAAAAAGTAAGTATTCATGGAATATTATACAAATTTTCATGAAATTTGAGGTATTATTCTATTTAAAAATGCACTTTTCTTTTAGTTCAGGCTCTCACACAATGAATTGGTAATTGTGAATTATTTGAGAATATTGCCTTTTCGTGGAAACTCTTTATGATAATGATAATTAAATCTCTTCATTTTAACTTTTCGGAAATCTGAATCCAAAATGCGATTTTTGCAGCCGGAGACGTATTTTGATCCAGTTAGGGTCGCTCACCTCCTTTTTGTAACGGGAGAAGGTTCCTCGTGACTCACACCGCAAGGGGCAAGCTTCAGGGTTGATATTTTTAGGCATGTCAGGATGTGAGGAAAAAAATTATTAAGTCACAAAATGCTCCCAGAATGTCTGAAATGCTAACTGTCAAGAACTGTCATTGTGTGTGATGTAATTGAAAACATCCCTTGCTTCATGATGAATATCTTGTCGATTGTATTGGATATGAAATTCTTTGTGTAAATATTATGTAGCTTTTTTTCTGGATAAATATGTCGTAAATAAGACGTTATTGCTCGGGATGTAATTCAGAATAATATCTTGGTAGTGATTTTTTTTTATTATTATTACAGTGACTTTTAAACGTTTTTAAAAACAAAAAAGAATGGTATCAGCCGGGGATGGGCAAACTTTTTGAGAAGTGATATACGGAAGAAAGAGGAGAAAATAAAATTTGGTGGATTATTGTTATTTATTACAAAATAAAAATTGATAAATTGTATTTGTTGAAGATTTTTTAAAACTAATGTGAGGAATGAAGCTAAGACTCTCTGCATTTCTCTTGGATTTTTCCAAATTAAAATAAGATATAAAAAGCATACGTAAGAAGTACTTATTTCATTAAATACAAAGATGAATATAAATATATTTTTATGATTAAGTTTTTATTAGGATAGATTCAGTTCCATTTTTAGCACTTGCTAATAAATAAATAAATCTACTTTTTAAAATGTCGCAACTTATATGGGGAAAAAAATTACGAGCACGACACGTAAGCTCTCTTTGATACCCCCCCCCCTCTCTAAACTTTCACACTATCATGAAGGCTTTGAGTTCCTTGTAGTCTTATCTTTAGTGGTTCCAGGATTCAAACCAGGGATCTGAGAGAGACAACGAGTTCGCGAACGTGACAAATTGGCTACCACGGCCGATTTAAGGGGAAATTATATCAGTTATCTATAATTCAGGCAAATATTGTTATCAGACGAACATTTTTGGGTTTCAATAAATAGACAGGAAGGAAAAAGTGAAGGGGAGAAATTTACAAAGAAAGTAAAAAGGTTTCCACAAAACATATATTCGAAATTAATTTTTTTTGGTATATTGTGTAGATGTTTGATTTAAAATACTCATTTCCTTGTCGATTCTTTTCTTCAGGAATTTGTTTTCATCAGTGTAGAAAAAGAGGCTAATGAATTTTGGAGGAAACATTTCATCTTAAAGTACCCAATTACTTGTGCGACAACTTTTTTTAAAAAAAAAATGGAGACATGGGGATTTTTTTGTGGTTTTTAGATTTGTTTAGTACATTTGAAGAAAAAAAATGCTAAAACTAAAAGATAAAAAGAAAATATTATTACTAAAATGTGGGAAAAAAGGGGTAAAAATTTACAAAAAATAATGTAAACGGGGCCCATTCTGTACCAAAAGTTTACGAACACATTTTCAGTTTTTCAATTCTGATGTGTTGCTATATGTTATTCATTTTTGAAATGACCTTCAGGATAAAGGATATTTTAATTTTTACGAAAACTAGAGCACTTTATCTTAGTTATTATATGAAATTGCTTAAAATAATAGTGATTATATTAGCATAAGGGACTGTAAATTTTGTAATAAAACAGTGATTGATAAATCCGAAGGTTAAAACACTTCTACTGTTA